TCCCCAGAGCTTCCAGCTCCAAAACCAGCGACCAGCGGCACTAGCTGCTGCACCACCTGCTCCACCAGCTCCAAAACCAGAGGATCCAGCTCCACCAGCTCCAAAACCAGAAGACCCAAATCCACCAGCTCCAAAACCAGTCGATCCAGCGGCACTAGCTGCTGCACCACCTGCTCCACCAGCTCCAAAACCAGAGGATCCAGCTCCACCAGCTCCAAAACCAGTCGATCCAGCGGCACTAGCTGCTGCACCACCTGCTCCACCAGCTCCAAAACCAGAAGATCCAACTCCACCAGCTCCAAAACCAGTCGATCCAGCGGCACTAGCTGCTGCACCACCTGCTCCACCAGCTCCAAAACCAGAAGATCCAACTCCACCAGCTCCAAAACCAGTCGATCCAGCGGCACTAGCTGCTGCACCACCTGCTCCACCAGCTCCAAAACCAGAGGACCCAGCTCCACCAGCTCCAAAACCACCCGATCCAGCGGCACTAGCTGCTGCACCACCTGCTCCACCAGCTCCAAAACCAGAGGATCCAACTCCACCAGCTCCAAAACCAGCTGATCCTGCTGTACTAGATGCAGCACCACCGGCTCCACCAGTTCCAAAACCAGAGCCAGTTGCAGCACCAGCACCTGCTCCTGCACCTCCTGATCCTCCGAGGATGAAGAAAGATGTGGGCTGGCCAGTTTGACCCGCAGCGCTGTGGGTGCTAACAGATGCTCCTCCTGCATGTCCAGGGCCACCTACCAAAGCAGCAAAACTTGGCTGGCCGAATGAGCCTGTTGTTGTATGGGTTGCACCAGCTCCTCCAATGAGATTTGGATGTACCACAAATACAGGGGCACCGCTACCAAATGTCCCAACAGAACCAGCTGCGCCTGGACCAAAGCTTGTGAATAATGTGGCTCCAGTTCCAGCACCTGCTGCTCCAGCTCCACCAGCTCCGAAACCTGCTGATCCAGCTGCACCAGCTGATGCTCCACCAGCTCCAAATCCTGCTGATCCAGCTGATGCTCCACCAGCTCCAAAACCTGCTGAACCAGCTGCACCTGCTGCTCCGCCAGCTCCAAATCCTGCTGATCCAGCTGCACCAGCTGATGCTCCACCAACTCCAAATCCTGCTGATCCAGCTGCACCTGCTGCTCCACCAGCTCCAAATCCTGCTGATGCACCAGCTGATGCTCCTCCGGCTCCAAAACCTGCTGATCCAGCTGCACTTCCGGCTCCAAATCCTGCTGATCCAGCTGCACCTCCAGCTCCACCGGCTCCGAAACCTGCTGATCCAGCTGCACCAGCTGATGCTCCTCCGGCTCCAAAACCTGCTGATCCAGCTGCACTTCCGGCTCCAAATCCTGCTGATCCAGCTGCACCTCCAGGCTCCAAACCTGCTGATCCAGCTGATGCTCCGGCCCAAATCCTGCTGATCCAGCTGCACCTGCTGCTCCGCCAGCTCCAAATCCTGCTGATCCAGCTGCACCAGCTGATGCTCCTCCGGCTCCAAATCCTGCTGATCCAGCTGCACCGGCTGGCCCACCAGCTCCAAAACCTGCTGATCCAGCTGCACCAGCTGATGCTCCTCCGGCTCCAAAACCTGCTGATCCAGCTGCACCAGCTGATGCTCCTCCGGCTCCAAATCCTGCTGATCCAGCTGCACCGGCTGATGCTCCACCAGCTCCAAAACCTGCTGATCCAGCTGCACCAGCTGATGCTCCTCCAGCTCCAAAACCTGCTGATCCAGTTGCACCGGCTGATGCTCCACCAGCTCCAAAACCTGCTGATCCAGCTGCACCAGCTGATGCTCCTCCGGCTCCAAAACCTGCTGATCCCGCTGCAGCACCTGCTGCACCACCTGCACCTCCAGTTCCAAATCCAGCAGATCCAGATGCGCCAGCCGCTGCTCCACCAGCACCGAAGCCAGCTGAACCAGAAGCGCTAGCAGCTGAAGCAGCTCCAGCAGCGCCTGCACCTCCACTTGCTCCGGCTGATGCGCTTGCAGATGCGCTAGCACCAGCACTAGCGCCTGCACCACCAGCAGCTTTGGGGTCTCCTGGCAAGCCTGATCCAACTACAACGATGTCGGTTGGGATCTGGTGGGAAGTCACCTGCGATCGACATAGGTTGACAGTTAGATCATATTGAATGTTTGGGCAGATAGAACGACTGTTTACTCGCCATTTACGTTGGTTCATAATCTCTTGTCATCATATAAAATCAACTGATACCATATACTCATTTGGGTATTAATGATGAGAGTGAAAATAATACTGACACTAATCTAGGTGCTTCTATCATTGCTATTACTCATACCGATGCTTCAACAATCAGTGTCACTGTAACAACTGTAATGATCAAAACTGGCATTACTACTACTTAAAACATTAAAAACGACACTATTAAATTCAAAAAAGGAATTTCCCTTTACCTTAAATCCAGAAGAGCCATCGTCAGAATAGATGTAGGTGCGTACAACGCCGTCAGGGGAAAGAAGGCTGAAACT